AATAAATTAATTATTAAAAAAAAAAAAAAAAAAAGAAAGAAAGAAAATCACATCGGGCACGTATGCATGCATGCCCAAAAGCCCAAGAGGAAAATGGAGAAGGGACTGCAGTATGGCCACCCCCACCACCCCTTTCAATGTCTTTCTGTCTCTGTCTAGTGAGTGTACCACCCTATGGAAAAATCTAAAAAAAAAAAGTCTCTTTACAACAAATTCAGTTCTTCTGCTAGCACTACACTAATGTAATCATTTTATTATTTTTTTAAAAGCGAGATTTTTGCTATGGAGTGTGTGTGTTCACCAGAGAGACAGAGACAGAAAGCAAAAAATCACCTCCTAGGGGAGATGGCCACACTCCAATCCCTTCTCCTCCATTCGCTTTTCAGGATTTGGGCATGCAAGAGCCTGTACCCAACATGAGTTTTAAGCTGCCAGATCAGGGACTCAAACCACAGTTGACTACGTAGATGTTCAGCAACATAACCATTACACCATCTGCTGGTCCCTAACGTGATCATTTTAAACACTAATAAATCTATCCAACTGAACTTACTCTGGACTCCTAAGCAAAATTTGGTGGGAATGAACACTTTCAAGTATAAAATACATACAGAAAAACATAAAAATTGTTAAGTAAAGAAATCACAAAGTAGACACATCCGTTTAACCAATGTCCAAGGCAAAATATAGGAATAAAGTATACCTACATCATTTGACTACCACTGAAATCATATGGATGAAGTTTTTTAAAGAATTATTTATTGTATTTATTATTATTATTATTATTTTATTTGACCAGAGAGAAAGTGAAAAAGCAAGCTGCCAGGTTCAGGACTCAAACTGTGGTCAATCATGTGTGAGTCTACTGCCTTAACCACCACACACCACACCACCTGCCAGCCCCTCATATGGATGAAGTTTTTTATTTGTTTTTTTTTCTTTTCTTTCTTTTTTTTTTTTTTTTTTTTTTTTTATTTGTAAAGCGAGAGAGGGAGGGAAAGTGAGAAAGCAAGCCACCTAGGTCCAGGACTCAAACTATGGTCGACCATGTGGGAGTCCAGTGCCATTAACCACATGCCACCTGCTGGCCCCTATATGGATGAAGTTTTAACAACTAGTTCTAAAACTGTTCACCATACTGTTTCTGTTTAGAAGATGGTTTGTCCCTCAAAGTTTCATGTTTTAGGGGACCAGCAGGTGGCGTGGTGGTTAAGGCACTGGACACCCACATGGCTGACCACGGTTCAAGACCCGGACCTGATAGCTTGCTTTCTTACTTTCTCTCTCTCTCTGTTTCTCTGTGTCCCTCTGGTCAAATTAAAATAAATGAATGTGGGACCAGCAGGTGGTGTGGTGGTTAAGGCACTGGACA